TAAATTCATAGATAAATAAAACCAGTTCAATGAGGAAGTTCAGGAAACGCAATAATATCAGCATTTCATACATGGAAAAATAACAGAAAACGATCCACATGGAAGCACAAATGTAACCATTTTATTACAAAATGAAATCAGTTCAGTGCTTCTAGGATTTTAAGCTTAATTTATCTGATGTAATCTGTGTGTGTGTGTGTGTGTGTGTGTGTGTGTGTGTGTGTGTGTGGCCTTTCAAACAACGTCATGCAGGGTTGATGTTTTTAATGACTGACTCTGTGTCAGTAGGTGGCAGCATTACATACCAGAAAGGATAAGAAAACAATCAATTGTTAAACCTGGGCTGGTGCAAATGTGTTCTCTTACTGACATCAAAAATGAGCCATATTTTAAAAATTGGTATTAATACAGATGTTTTTCCAGGTTTATTCCTGCACACAGAGGAAAAACTGACTAATGGCTGCACTCCTTTCTGATGAATACGTTTTTAAAGAAGAATTAACAATTCAAGATCTCCCTATATGAGATTACCTCGTCAAAATACCCCAAACCATGCACTGTGCATTTACTATATTACTGATAATACTTTCAGACAGTCCTTTTCTCTCTGGAAGGACTCAAAATTCCAAATAAAGATATTTTTTTTACTCTACAAAGTGCTTTTTGCCTCTCTCTGCATACAAACTGATTAACACTGACTATTTACATATCATATTTCAACCAGCAGCTGAAACTTAACCATAAAACTGACAGAGATCATCAGCTGTAGTTGCTAGTAGCATGTTTTCAGGATGAAGAAACCGAATTGACTTGAATGTTGGGAATGATGTTTGCCGGGTGTAACAGGCAGTTACGCCCAGGATTGCTTCACATCAGCAGATGTTTGCGTTCCTCAGATACCTTTTCTGACCTTACCGAAAGCTAAAAGCGACGCTTAAATGATGTCGGCCATCCCTCAGTGTCCACTCTGTGGGACTGCAGGAAACAATTTTATTTAGCCTCTGCACTGGTTTCCTCACAGTGAGGATGTTTGTTCCAACAGGCCTCGATCCATGAGCTGTTTATCTGTGTCAGCACCCGGCAGGAGGGAAACAACCATCCTGAACACTCTGGTTATCAGCTGGCCTACTGTTTGGGGAGCAGGAGGCTATTGCACAGCTGTCTGTGAGAGACTGGTGCAGACTGGTGAAGAAAGAGAAGATACATGACTAAAAGTCTGTAGACAGTAGCTCTGGTAGTCGACTGGGAGTAAAGCCCTGCAGACAGCGATGTGACCAGTGTGGAGTGAATCTGACTGAGAATCATATGAGTCGAGCCCTGCTAGCCATTAGAAAGAGTTCAGGATTAAAACCTGAAGCCTTTTTAGAGTACTGCATTTGTGTTTGTTTGCAATGGTATTGCTTATGCAGAAAGATACACAAAGATTCTCCAAAAATCAGCAGCAAAGAGAAAGCGCACAGAGACGATTGATAGTTTTAGTGAAGGAGAGCATGCAGAGGGTTGGTGTGATGGGCAGGATGTCAGGGATTGGGTGAAATCTGCTGTGGTGACCCCCAAAAGACAGAAGTCAAAAATAGAAGAAAAAGGAAGGAGAGAATTCAACTCAGCATTTATTGTTTGACTCCAAGCTAAAGAAAAAACTTACTTTTTAATCTGTTTTATACTTTTTAATGCTTTTTATATGTTTACACATTTATTTGCAAATGTATCTATTTTGTACATATTTATGTATGAATATATTTGTGCAGATTGTAACTTTACACTGTAAGTATAAATTGTTTCCATGTTCACTGTATTACATGTTCAACACATAAAAGAAACAAATCTGTTTATGATTGTTCTGGTGGTTTCTTTTTCGTCACATGTAACCATTAACCGTGACGATCGTGGCTCAAGACTCAAGACGTGGCTCTGTCGTTGTGTCCTTGGGCAAGACACTTCACCCGTTGCCTACTGGTGGTGGTCAGAGGGCCCGGTGGCGTCAGTGTCCGGCAGCCTCACCTCTGTCAGTGCGCCCCAGGGTGGCTGTGGCTACAATGTAGCTGGCATCACCTGTGTTTGAATGTGTGGATGACTGGAATTGTAAAAGCGCTTTGGGGTCCTTAGGGACTAGTAAAGCGCT